TGTTTCAAATGACCAATGACGAGGTAAGTAAACTTACCAAGCAATGGTTAAGAAGAATTCTGATAACAGAAAATTGCATATAAGAGAGAAATTAATGAGTTTAGTGTGAGGTGTAGCTGTTAGAGTATCCACATAATCTACATCCCTTGGGTATTGGGAAGATGGGTCAGCCTGTTGGATTAGAAATAGCTCTTGTTAGCTAGCATAAGTTTTAAAATGAATTTGATGAAAAGTAATTAAAAATAAAACTAATTTGATATTGCATAATAAACTAATTTGACATTATATAATATTATTAATTTAAAAAAATTATGGGGATTGGGGTTGAATCTGCATGTCCATTTGTCCATATGATTTTTATTGCATATTTAATAGGGCTGGGTATTGGCCCGAGATTTCGTATTGCGATATATTGCGATATTTTTAACTGTATTGCGATATGTATTGCAATATTTTCAATGTAATAATGTAATAAAAATGGCATTTTCTTACCATTTTTTTTTTAAAATTTAAATGCAGAATGTACACAACTATGATAAGTACCCTAAACAGAAAAAAATTTTTGTTGAAATCATTTAAGTTATGCTCTGAAATGTTCCCACAAACAACTTCTAACTTACTGTTTGATTTAATAACAAACTTTTATAAGTCCATTTTTACATTTAATGACAAAATTCCTTAATCTAAGCATATTGCCAATATATCGATATTACAAAATCGTATTGCGATGCGGTATTTTTTGTCATTGTATTGCAATATATTGAAATATTGATATTATTGCCCAGCCCTGATATTTAAACACGTGTTGTAATATATCTTTAAAAAAAAAAATCATTGATTATTTTATAAGTTTTAAAAATATTTTAGGGTAGAAAGTGCAGGTCCATTCATCTCCAATCAGAGATTAATTAATGAGTTTAATGTAGGAAGCCTAGCTGTCTTAATCATTTTATCTTTATCCTTTGGGAATCAGACAGAAGAACCCTTGGTCAGGTAATATAGCATATATCATTTAATGTCTAGCCTTTTATTTCAAAATTATTTGGTATAGATTAAGTTGTTCAGACTAATGTGATACATGTAATGTCTATTATGATTGGCATTTGATAAAAAAATATTTTAAGGAATGGAAAAATCAAAGAAATCAATTTTCTTGCACTCTAAACTGTTAAAGATATTTGTAATTTTTGACGAGCGCATCATGCTGTGGCGTGGCACTTTATTTTCATAGAGCCTTTCATTTTATGCAAACTGATCGAAGGTCAATGACAAAACTTCAGAACAGGTCAAGGTCAAATATGGAAGTGAAAGAGCACATAATGCTGACACTTTTTAAAAGTATAATTAGTTACAGATTCTCGTTTGCTTTTATTTCAGACTGCCCCTGAGATGTTTCCCTATGAAGAATTTCCCATAACAGAGGTCAAGGTCAACACAGACCTCCACTTTCCAGGGGCCGGGTGTCTGGTGGTTTCCTGTAAAACCGACTCCAAGGTTACAAAGAAAGAGTAGGCACATTTTCTCTGTTGCTACATCTTATGTTCTTATGTTCAACAATGTGTATATTGACATTGATTTACTTTTTAGAGCTCCTGAGCCAAAGGCTCAAGTGAGCTTTTCTGATCACAATTTTTCAGTTGTCTGTTGTAAACTTTTCATATTTTCATCTTATTCTCAAGAACCACTGGGCCAATTTCAACCCAACTTGCTACAAAGTATCCTTGGGTAAAGGGGTTTCAAAAAAAATCAAATGAAGGGCTGCCCACATTTTCCTTTTCCAATTGGAGATAATTATGAATTAGAGAACAATTAATGGCATTTATAAAAATCTTCTTCTTCAGAGCAGTGCTCTAAGTTGCGACTAAAATGGTCGCATTTGTGACCCAAAAATTGATTTTGCGACTAGAAATGAAAACACACTCGCATTTAGTAACTGAGAAAATTTGGACTGGAAACAACCAATTTTGAAGATCGGGATTGAGATTTCATTTGTAAAGATTCTCTATCAAGAAAATGTTTGAAGACATATACTTAAATACACTTTACAGAGCGTTGCATGGACTTAGATCACATAATGTTATGACAGCATGGCATGCTGTACATACATGCCAACTTTTGAAAATTGCCATGGGGGATTTAGCGCGAGACAACAATTTTCAGAGCTCTAAATTCCCTACATTTTGTCGTGAAATTAAATGATAATGAAATGATCTTTTTTTAGATTTATAATATATTTGATATCACTTATAAATACAACTTAAGGATTAATTTAACACAAAAAATTAATGAATTTTTTTTTTTATGTTTTTTTTTTCTTTAAAATTTTAATATTTTTGCTAAAATAAGTGCCTCTCTTATTTAAACATGTTTTTTTTTTTCTACCAGGACACTTAATTCAGTGAAAAATTGAACAACTTTTAAATCATTTTTTTCCAAAGGCTTTTAAAATATAAGAGGTTTTGATAATGTTAAGTCCTGTTTCTGGAAACTTTTTTGAGATTTTTAATTTATATTTCATTTAATTAGAAATTCTAATAAGGTATTAAATTTACTGAAATTTATACCACCTATCCAAAGGAGAATTATTTTTTTTACAGTCATGAAATTTGTCAGGCTTAACATGTGGGTACATGTATTTCCTTAAGTCATGAACATACCTATAAAATATTACTTTTGGTAGAAGGAAGGGAAAAGAAACTCTAATTTACATACACTTGATTGTTTCATCTTAAGTTCATAATATTTTAACTGGCAAACTTTACTTCGGGGTTTATAAATTATTGTAAACTGCCCCAAGTTTTGTTATATCGGATAACAGGAGTTGAAATAAGCTTCATTTCTTATTATTTAATTTCAATGTAGACAATGAGACAATATTTCCTCCAGAAGGTTACAGACTACTAATTTTACCCCTATTTCATTGACCACTCAAGTAGTTCTAGTTTAAATATAGAGGTTCTTTTATGCGCCTAGATCGATAGATCCTGGGCGTATATTGTTTTTGTCCTGTCTGTTTGTCTGTTTGTCTGTTGTCAACTTTAGCCTTGGCAATAACTTTTGAACAATTAGAGTTAGAGACTTCATATTTGGTATGCATACTCCACTAATAAAGTCCTTTCAAAGGACATCAAGGTCAATGACCTTGAGACCTTGACTGTGACCTATATGCTAAAAATAGCTTTTTCCACTGTTTGTCATAACTTTTGAACCATAAGAGATAAGGATTTCATATTTGGTATGCATACTCCACTGATTAAGTTCTTTCAGTTGACATCTAGGTCAATCATCTTGTGACCTTGACTGTGACCTATATGCTAAAAATAGCTTTTTCCACTGTTTGCCATAACTTTTGAACCATAGGAGATAGGATCTTCATATATGGGATGCATACTCCACTGATTAAGTTTTTTCAAATGACACCATTGTCAATGACCTTGTGACCTTTACTGTGACCTATATGCTAAAAATAGCTTTTTACACTTTTTGCTATAACTTTTGAACCATAGGAGATATGAACTTCATATTTGGGATTCATACTTCACTGATTAAGTTCTTTCAAGTGATACCATGGTCAATGACCTTGTGACCTTGACTGTGACCTATATGCTAAAATAGCTTTTTACACTTTTTGCTATAACTTTTGAACCATAGAAGAACTTCATATTTGGGATTCATACTTCACTGATTAAGTTCTTTCAAGTGACACCATGGTCAGTGACCTTGACTGTGACCTATATGCTAAAAATAGCTTTTTACACTTTTTGCCATAACTTTTAAACCATAGGAGATATGGATTTCATATTTGGGATGCATACTCCACTGATTAAGTTCTTTCAAATGACACCACGGTCAATGACCTTGTGACCTTGACTGTAACCAATATGCTAAAAATAGATTTTTTTAACTTTGTTGCCGCCGGGCACATAGTGTTTTACAAACACATCTTGTCTTAAAAATTCTTTGGGGTGTTTATGGAGTAGAAAGCGGTTATTTTGGGGCATAAATTGAAAGGAGAGGGTCTGAAAAAAATTATAAAAATGACAATAATGGGAAATTTCGCTTTTAAGTGCGTAGTAGGAAGGGTGTAAAGAGGCCCATATTTACCCTTTCCTAACAGAGAAAGTGAAAAAAGCAGGGTAGGGGTCATTTGCAAGGCCATAAAAAGACTTGCAGACTATGAATGTTCCTGAGAACTTGGTAAATTTTTGGACTTGAAATGGTTTTACTCTGTGCCAAGTTTCAGTTACGTTGATCATGAGCTGGTGTAATTTTTAAAAAAATATTTTTTTATGTCATAAAGGAATGAATAGCAAAACAATTCATTTGGTAGTCTGTGTCCTATCAGGTCAAAGGTCAAAACTCCTGTTAATCAGTTTATTGGCACTTTTCGGATAATTTGGAACTAATCATGCTAATTGTTGAAAAAATTGATGGATAAATATATTTTTCGGAGAAATTAAATGGATTTAAATAATTAAAAAGGGGGAGGGGCACCTGCTCAGGTTGTCAAAGGGTATGACATAATGTGTGCAATTAATGTGTGTCAAGAATTTATTCAAATATGAATTTTGATTCTTTATTTAATGTTGTAGGTAACATAGAACCCGTTTGATTGTTCAGATTACACTATTGTTAGTAGGAAAGAAATGCCTAATTTCTCAAAACTTAAGCTACTTGGTGTTTGTAATTATATTTGTCCCAATTACTTATTTATTTGACACAATATCTTATTAATTATGAATGTGAACTGAAGTTAAAATGCTTTTAAATTCATTTTTTTAGTGGATCATATTTAGCAGATTGTGGGGATGAATGCAGTTGTAGCCTGGATTGGTGACTTAAAAATTTCAGGCCAGTTACCAGTCAGAAGTGAACAATTTTTGTACCAGAAGCAGAGAAAGTGAGCATTCAGAAAACAAGATACAGCTGTCAATATGGCAGTCAAAAGCAGCCAAGTCAAAGGTATACAATCAACTGAGTCATAGTTTGTATTATTTTGTTTGTTTTCTTTTTAGCTCACCTGAGCCGAAGGCTCAAGTGAGCTTTTCTGATCACATTGTGTCCGTCGTCCGTCCGTCCGTCCGTCTGTCCGTCTGTTCTTACGAGAGGTACATTATGGGGTAAAATTAATGTATTTTCCAGCAGTGTGGGGTTTTTTGGGTACTGTGGGGTTAACCCCATAATGAAGAGGTCTAATTACGTTCAAAATTACTCTATGAGGTCGAAAAACCTAAAATTAGATTTAACCTCACAAAGACTTTGTCCAAATTTTGGACATGTCCTTAGCCCAAAACGCTCAGACATTCAGAAATCTGCTGTTTAGAGGAGTTCGGTAATTGAATCGAGGAGTTCCGAATACCTGAGCATGCGCATATATTTAAAACTAACTGCGCATGCGCAGAATACGGAAGTAGCTGTGTTTGGACATTTTTGTATTAGCAGTGAGGAAATTCGGAAACACAAAAAGCAAATGCAGTAAGTCTTACTATTTTGTTGCACCACATTGAAAAAAAGCTTTGTAAGTTGTTTGATATGATTCATACGTACATTATGCAGTTGTAGAATTTATTTAAAGTCAAGGAAAGGACACTTGTAGTCCACATAAACACATACCGATTGAAAACGGGCTTTTGTGAAAAAAATTATAATGAATGCACTGATAGTTCTTTTTTTAATCAGAGGTCTGCAATGAAAATCGACCGATACCCGGGGGTCGGGCTAGTGGTTTTCTGCAAGAGGGTCGCCCCGTTGGCCAGTAAAAAAAGATAATATTATTTATACACGTGCAATACATGCAAAGCACACCTGGTACGTATTTTCACTCGTTTTTTGCAACAAAAATCCAAACCATTTAAATTTTCCATATAACATGCTCCAACTGTCAATAAATCTCCATAATTTAATCCGTGTTGGAGTACTACTTGGCTTATTTACTTCAAAAAACGATCGTGTTTTTTTCTTAATTCGAATTTTCTCTATATCTATGGTAATTACATGCAGATATCTCATAACATAAATACATGTGATTCTTCCGATGGGAGACAAAATCTCTGGATTTTTCACGCCTCTTCCGCCCCTTCCGATTAATTTTTAAATCATCCGTGTTTAAATTTTTTTTCAAATTGAATATTTTTGGCTTTAATTTTATCCTGTTTCGTAGTATAATTGCTCTCTCTCTCTCTCTCTCTCTCTCTCTCTCTCTCTCTCTCTCTCTCTCAATTCATTCTAGATACGTACCAATTGTTTATCTACTCTTCACACATTTGTTTACATGTACTTGTAATCGTACCTTAATCTATAGAGAAAAAATCAGAATGGAAAAATGGAATTAATGTCACTGCAATAAATTTTCGCAGCAAGTAGGAATCGTAGGAATCAACATGGGGTTGTATAATTAGGTTGTAAAATTTAGTGGTATATCAATTTGATAAATGACAATCAATGTTTATAAATGAGTGTAGGACATTTTAATCAGTTGTTAAAATACCCAATATGTCACATTGCTTACACAGTCGCTTGTGTAATTATGTGCCGGATAAAAAAATTCACCTATTAAAGAAATTAAACAAATTACCTTTAGATACGTATATATAACTCTCTTTGTGTTAATGAAAAAATATAATTGTCCTGTAAGATCAATTTGTACTTATTTTTCAAGATCGACCATTGAAAATTTAAAAGAATTAAATCACAATTAATAGTTTTTCTATAGCTAAACTTAAAGAAATTCAAGCTTAAAGCTTCATTTTGTAATTTACAATATTAATTCATCATTACTTTGAATATTTACAGTGAGAGTATGTAACTTAGCTAATACAGGTCTATCAGTATTTTCACACCTGTTAGATTTTGATTCCGTGTAGAAGCTCTAATTGCAACTCTTGTCAAAACAAATGATTTGTATAGCATGATTATCTCGTGAATGTCACCATCAGGAGACGATCGATAGGGATTAGTTACGCTCTGGTGCACTTGACACCTGTGTTGTAGTAGAATGATTTTAAACTGCGTTAATACAAATCTTTGGTCAATTGAATAATTTTTTGTGTGTGTCTGTATGTTAGATAGAAATTCTGACAGCTTTATAAAAATAATATTAAAAATTTACCAGACTTTAAAAACTTCAGCAAAGTAGTTGATCGAGGATTAATTGAAAGGGGGGGGGGGGGTTACACTGCTGATCATTACCTGAACATATTATAGTGAAGTTTTTAAATGAATTTTATTGACACTTACTGAAATAAATTTTTATACTTTATTTAATTCACCAATAAACTGTCTTTTAATTAAAGCTTTTATATTTTTTCTTATTAAAAAAATAGATAGTAGTAAGGCACATGTATTTCTTCTTGAATGATTTGAATGTTACAAAAGAACACTAAGAGTTCCCGAAACTAGTCAAAAATATGTCGGACAATTGTCTTGTAAATATTCAAAATTCACCGGACAGTTGTAAAATTTACCGGACATTAATTTTTTGTATGTAAATTTAACATATTATAGGATTGGAAATTGTAAAGATATAATAAATGATATGTGTAAATAAAAAGATGGCAGATTTAAAAAAAAAAATTATTGAAATATTTTGTATATGGCCTTTGTATGCAGGATTTGACGTTGCCGAAGGCGTGTGATGACCAACGCTTAATTCATGTATAAATTTATTATGGCCTTTCTGACAGATTTTTAAAATGTTTTTAAAAATAAAATCTGCAACATGACAACTCTTGGTTGATTGTTTGGAAAATATGTTGTTTTCCAGGCTTTTTTCTTTTGGATTTTTGTATTTTATGTGCCAGGAAAAATATTACGTAAAATGTCAAACTCGTTTTAAAAAGCCTGGTAAAACGTCCGATATTTCTGACTAGTTAAAATTTATTATACAACCTCCATACAGTTAAAAATATGTACTAATGATATAAAGATATGCAAATTTATCATGAAAATGATGATTTTAAGTGAATTTGTTGTCGTTTTACTACATTCAAGTCAATCCGCTATTTTTAGAAAAGGGGAAAAACGCGCTTGTATTTTAAATGCTATCAAATACATTAAAAAAAATCCAGAAGTTGGTATAATATTATCATGCTAATAGATTAAATTATAGAGAAAATAATAAATGGTAACAAATTGTCTGTAATCAAGCAGAAATAGCAGGCACTCTTGCAACCCTGCAAATTCGTCCTTCAAAACGAAAGTAGATTGTCACATTTTTTTTACTATCAGAACTACAGAGTGCATATATTTATCATGGAAAATATTTGTTGACAGGGTTTTTAAAACTGTTTTTCCTCCCAGACTTATGGAAATTATTATTTTAATATGTAGCTTTTTATAGTAGACAATCAACGTCTACATTTTATTTAAACAAGATCTGGCGATGCCCTGACGTTTTTTTTTTTTTTCATTCCTTTAGTTTTGCATTTGTTTATTGTCAGGACAATTGAATTAAATGATTTTGTTAAGATTATATGTAAAGGTTATACAGTCTGTAAAAAAAAAAAACCATCGGACATTTTGACCAATAAAATTAAGATTTTATCGGTCCCATTCAAAGTTCACCGGGGATCCCCGGTGGACCGGTGCGTTTCTGGAACTCTGAACACTTATGAACAAAACCTTAAAAATCTAATTTGGAATTCTTTAATTTCATATTTTTTAAATAGGCATGGATTAATATATATATACACACATACAAAGGTTTTGTGAAATTGACATGTTTAATTAAATCAACTGTAGTGGTTATTGCTGTTTATTTATTGACTGACTGGCTACTTCTTGGGCAAACTGGAATAAGAGGCCACCTGTCTTAAGTGGCTAGTTTCTGGACTTCCCAAAGCTTAAAACAAGTTTGACTGTACTTTTTCACCTTTTACCAATATAAGAAAGTAGTTCACAGTACATGACAACTATGCTTTAAATAAATTTCGATGAATTTTAATTAGTAACTCGGAATTTTTGTATGTGATATAAATAAACATTTGCTTCTGTATTCCTTTGTAGAGTTCAGATACTGAAAGTGAACATCAGTGGAACTTTGATGATCTAGGCCGCTCTATTTTTGCAGCAACACCAGCATGCGTCGGACATTCATAAAGTTGAAAGAACAAACCTATGACTTGAACACACAATTTGTGATCTGAATATAGTTCACAAATTTAAGGAAAGCAACTATCAAAGACATCCAGATTGATGGTTAGTACATGTTATAAGTGCCCATAAAATCAAGACAACAATATTATTTTACAATAAATTAAAACATAACCTGTTAAAAAAAAAATGAACATTATCATTTATAAATATATTTTACTGTATTTTTTTTTGACAGGTATACATGAAGTATGAATGAAAGCCTTTTCAGAAGAACAAGCACAATCCCGATTCATTCTTGCCATTGTCTTCTCCAGACGGTGACATTTAGGACCTGACTTACTTTTCAGAAAAAGAAGATGAATCGATTTTTGATAGTTGATCTTAAAAAGATAACATTTTCAGGGGTCGTGGATTGAATGACATTTTCTTGCAATCTCCCATGCAGAGTTGTCGTTCGTTCCTCTCTCAATCTGCAATGGGCTCACGTCAAGATTTTTGACATAACGTATAAAACTTGATATTTGAAGAATTGTTTCAATTCAAATCAATAGTTCTGGATTGATTTAGTAAATATCTATCTATAAATTCAGACATAAACATAGAAATTGAATTGTAATGAATTAAAACAAACGCACTATTTCTCGTGTTTAAAACTGTGTATACGCGAGCCAACGACAGAGGTGAATGTATGAGCCGATGGTAGAGAGTGATTTTCTTGATGGGCAACTAGTTTCAAGTATTTGGATGTCTATTCTCAATTTACTGCAAACCTTAAATTAACTTCTTGTTTATTAGTTAAATGTGAGACCGTTTCTTACTTGAAGTAATCATTTTTTGAATTGAGCTATGTAATCTCTGATTACTTATGTTTATGAGTAGTGTTCAGCTTTAAGACAAAAGGATCTTTTATGAACATTGCATTCGTCATGGTGAATTTCTATACATTAAGTAACAGTCATAGTTTTCGTCTTTTTTAATTAGCGATCTCATTTTAAATGTGAGAAATAATTATTAAACTGAAATGTATATTTATGTTGTTTGATTTTTATTTTTTTGAAAATTGTAAATCAATTGCATGTTGTTGTTTTTTTTTTTCATTTTATTTTAGGGGATGGGAGTGGGGGTGCAGCTGTAAGTTTGAGTATATTTTCCAAAAGGATGTACATCGTTATTTTTGTTTAAATATCAATTTTAAAATGCAAAATGATGAGATATTAGACTACACATTTTTTCTTAAAACTTCATTTAAATTAATATATTTTGTTTAAAATAAGTAGCAACACCATGCAAGTTTTAGAGTTATTTGACAACTCACTATATACTTGTTTTTTTTTTTTACATTTATGAAGATTGTCTCAAATTTTGAGGGTTTTTTTCTGTGTTCTACATTTATTGACATGTTTCTTATCTGTGTTCATCTTGTCGAGTAAATGAAAAGTTTGATTAAATTTTTTTTAAAAAATCAGGATCATCTCTTTTATTTATTATTATTAATTTACAATGAAATTATGTATGCTTTTGATGCATAATGTACACTTCAAATTCATGCACCAGCAGATTCAAAGGAAAAATTCTCATTAGAAATAAGCAGTTAAGATAAAGAGATTATCCAATTAAAAATAGTTTGAAAAATATTTAAAACAAATTTTCAAGTATGTTATCAAAATAGGAAAAAGTATTATGAATATAGTTTGGTATTTTTAATAGTAAAAAAAAGAGGATATGACATACTGGCAATTGCATCATCTCACTCAGGGTCTTTCCGTCAGAGTTCGGAAAAACAACCTCGAATGTATTAACATCACCTGATGTTAAAGGTTATGCTTTTCTTGTTTTTTTTTCAAATATAGGATAGAGGAAGTAAGAAGTCCCTTTTATAGTAAGTTTTATGTAATATCATAGCATTGAATAAAATTAAACTCCATATTCCACAGATAAAAGGTCTTCATGCATTTATTTCGAAGATCATGAAAAGGGGGGGGGGTTGTTGCCATGGCGTCTAACTAATACATTCGAGGTCATTTGTCAGCTAGTCAGAAAGGCTCGAGAAGTTGCGATTGAACATAGTGGGGGTTCTTGTTCTTTTATTACCAGTCCCTGGTAGAGTTTTTTGATATTAGAACATACTGGGGTTTTCAAACACTTAAATTCATATGGTTACTGGTATCTGTTACATGAGAATACAGCGGGGTTGTTTGTTTAACACTCTGAGGTTACTAAGATGTCTAATATTTTCTATCAGAACATATTGTGGTTCTTGTCTAACACTTTGTGGGGTCAATGTTATCTTTTATCTATATAAGAACATAATGGGGTTGTTACACGTTATGGGGTTAGTGTTGTCTATTATCTTTATAAGAGTACTTAGTGGGGTTGTTGTCCTAACACTTTATGGGGTTAGTGTTGTCTATTATCTTTATGAGAGTACATAGTGGGGTTGCTGTCCAAACACTTTATGGGGTTAGTGTTGTCTTTTATCTTAATAACAGTACATAGTGGGATTGCTGACGAAACACTTTATGGGGTTAGTGTTGTCTATTATCTTTATGAAAGTACATAGTGGGGTTGCTGTCCAAACACTTTATGGGGTTTATGTTGTCTATTATCTTTATGAAAGTACATAGTGGGGTTGCTGTCCAAACACTTTATGGGGTTAGTGTTGTCTATTATCTTTATAAAAATACATAGTGGGGTTGCTGTCCAAACACTTTATGGGGTTAGTGTTGTCTATTATCTTTATGAAAGTACATAGTGGGGTTGCTGTCCAAACACTTTATGGGGTTAGTGTTGTGTATTATCTTTATGAGAGTACATAGTGGGGTTGCTGTCCAAACACTTTATGGGGTTAGTGTTGTCTATTATCTTTATGAGAGTACATAGTGGGGTTGCTGTTCAAACACTTTATGGGGTTAGTGTTGTCTATTATCTTTATGAGAGTACATAGTGGGGTTGCTGTCCAAACACTTTATGGGGTTAGTGTTGTCTATTATCTTTATGAGAGTACATAGTGGGGTTGTTGTCCAAACACTTTATGGGGTTAGTGTTGTCTATTATCTTTATGAGTGTACATAGTGGGGTTGCTGTCCAAACACTTTATGGGGTTAGTGTTGTCTATTATCTATATAAGAACATAGTGGGGTTGCTGTCCAAACACTTTATGGGGTTAGTGTTGTCTATTATCTTTATGAGTGTACATAGTGGGGTGGTTGTCCGAACTCTTTATGGGGTTAGTGTTGTCTATTATCTTTATGATAGTACATAGTGGGGTTGCTGTCCAAACACTTTATGGGGTTAGTGTTGTCTATTATCTTTATGAGAGTACATAGTGGGGTTGCTGTCCAAACACTTTATGGGGTTAGTGTTGTCTATTATCTTTATAAGAATACATAGTGGGGTTGTTGTCCAAACACTTAATGGGGTTAGTGTTGTCTATTATCTTTATAAGAGTACACACTGGGGTTGTTTGTCTTATAATTTATGGGGTTAGTGTTGTCTGTTATTTCTATATAGCATAGTGGGGTTGTTTGTTTAACACTCTCTGGAATATTCTTGTCTATCATCTTTATGTGAAAACATGATGGGTTAATTTACTTTGATGCAACAGTTATCCTCAAATAAAAACATTTTTTTTGCATTGTTACTGCTAGGCAGTAGTTGAAAAAAAGTTATTGCAATTTCCGTTCTAAGTTCTTCAGATAAACAGTAACAATTTTAAGTACTCATAATTAGTTGCCCGTAAAGTTGACTTGATATTAAATAATTTATTTTTAACCCCACAAATATAGATCTTTAACCCCACAAATATAGATCTTTAACCCCACAAATATAGACCTTTAACCCCACAATATACCATTTGTTTGAATTCCTAATGATACCTCTCAAGTCACCACTGTACTATTAATAACCCCACAAAGCAAAATTATAACCCCGCACCTTCCGTAAAATGCACAATGTACCTCTCAACTGTACAGCTGTCCGTCTGTCCGTCCGTCCGTCTGTCCGTCCGTAAACTTTTCACATTTTCGACTTCTTCTCAAGAACCACTGGGCCAATTTTGACCAAACTTGGTACAAAGCATCCTTGGGTGAAGGGGAATTTAAATTGTTAAAATGAAGGGACATATCCCCTCGCAAGGGGAGATAATCAAGAAAATACAAAAATAGGGTGGGGTCATTAAAAAATCTTCTTCTCAAGAACCACTGGGCCAGAAAAGCTGAAACTTATGTGGAAGCATCCTGGGGTAGTGTATATTCTAAATTATTCAAATCATGACCCTCGGGGTTTGGGCGGGGCCACAATGGGGAATCAAAGTTTTACATAGAAATATATAGGAAAAATCTTTGAAAATCTTCTTCTCAAGAACCACTGGGCCAGAAAAGCTGAAACTTATGTGGAAACATCCTGGGGTAGTGTAGATTCTAAATTGTTCAAATCATGACCCCCGGGGATTGGGCGGGGCCACAATGGGGAATCAAAGTTTTACATAGAAATATATAGGAAAAATCTTTAAAAATCTTCTTATCAAGAACCACTGTGCCAGAAAAGCTGAAACTTATGTGGAAGCATCCTGGGGTAGTGTAGATTCTAAATTGTTCAAATCATGACCCCCGGGGATTGGGCGGGGCAACAATGGGGAATCAAAGTTTTACATAGAAATATATGGGAAAAATCTTTGAAAATCTTCTTCTCAAGAACCACTGTGCCAGAAAAGCTGAAACTTATGTGGAAGCATCCTGGGATAGTGTAGCTTCTAAATTGTTCAAATCATAACCCCCGGGGATTGGGCGGGGCCACAATGGGGAATCAAAGTTTTACATAGAAATATATGGGAAAAATCTTTGAAAATCTTCTTCTCAAGAACCACTGGACCAGGAAAGCTGAAACTTATGTGGAAGCATCCTGGGGTAGTGTAGATTTTAAATTGTTCAAATCATGACCCCCGGGGATCAGGCGGGGTCACAATGGGGAATCAAAGTTTTACATAGAAATATATAGGAAAAATCTTTGAAAATCTTCTTCTCAAGAACCACTGTGCTTGAAATGCTGAAACTTATGTGGAAACATCCTGGGGTAGTGTAGATTCTAAATTGTTCAAATCATGACCCCCGGGGATCAGGCGGGGCCACAATGGGGAATCAAAGTTTTACATAGAAATATATAGGAAAAATCTTTGAAAATCTTCTTCTCAAGAACCACTGTGCCAGAAAAGCTGAAACTTAAATGGAAGCATCCTGGGGTAGTGTAGATTCTAAATTGTTCAAATCATGACCCCCGGGGATCAGGCGGGGCCACAATGGGGAATCAAAGTTTTACATAGAAATATATAGGAAAAAGCTTTGAAAATCTTAATAACAACTGGGCCAGAAAAGCTGAAACTTAAGTACAGAATGGTCAAAGCTTCTCAGGTGAGCGATGTGGCCCATGGGCCTCTTGTTTATATACATTACTGTTTTCATCTGTTCATCATCATGTGTTGCCTTTTAATGTATACTCTCTAAAACTTTCTTTTTTTCCTTCTTCTTTTGGAATTGAATATCTGCTGTCTGATTGCTGGCACTGATCTGTGATTGTCCAAGACAGGGGAGGTCAGTAAGGTGCTCAACATTTCATATGGGATGTTTGGTCCTACTGCCTTTTTCTACTCTTGTGGAATCTTGGACATCATTGTCGGTGGTCACATATCAGACAAAATCATCATTTTTTGACCAAGACAGGTGTTTAC